GTTCAATCGTCTCGGCAAGTTCAAACCGCCGTGGCGTAGACGGTGATAATTTATGCAGTGCTACGTGTGAGCGGGTCAAAAGGATGTCAACAATGCATCCTATTAGCATGGCGGTGAAGTTGTAAGCATGGCGGTCCGAGCCCAAGCGTGGCGGCCGGGTCGCCAAGCATGGCAGTACCGCCATGCTTTGTTCTATGTGGGGAGAACACTGGGCCCCGGCTTATAATCGTGAATGCTCTCAACTCGATAAATATCAAGTAAAAACATAGGGATGGGCTTCATACTCGGGAGGGGCTTACGATCGGGGAAGTACGGTACTTTAACGCAATTGGGCTTTCACTCTCAGAATACTGTGGTTCAAACGTATAAGGCTCTAACCCAAGTTTTAAAAAGCACATTGTGCATATAAAAGCTGAGTTTTTACTAATAGTACACAATGCTTGGCAGCATGAACGGCTATGTACAATGGCGTATACGAATGCGATCAGATACTAAAACGTCATAGCTTTGAAAAGTACCCGGATGTTAAATATGTTCGTTCGTTAATTATTCCCCTCCATGAATGGCCTCCATGGCAAGCACTTCAAATGCCTATCCAAGCTACAGTTATAATTAAAACAAAATTAAACCACTGCAATATTATTTCGAATACAGTTTAGAATATACACAACTATAAATTAAGGCCGCATTTAGGTTCGCTTTAACATCCACACATTTTCATAAAATCTCCATGCACTTTTTGACCTTTCATAAATACAATACACTACAATTTACTCCAGAAAAACAATTTTCTTGGTGCATTCCTACATTCTTGCATACTAATGAGGGATTCAGACACATTCCAAGCTGAACAATTTTCTTGGACTAACAACAAAGCTGATCAATCCTTTCCCAGCAAAAATGTATATTAAAGCATAAATGGTAGTTCTCTTTTTAAAATATGTTGTGGCCCTAAAAAGGGCCGGCCGTTTGGTTTGTGCTTTCTTAGAAACAATTCAAGCAACTCATATAAGGAGAGCCGCGAAGCAAGTGTGGCACTCGGTCAGCCGTAGCGCCATCAAAAATTAAACCGACATTGCAATATTGTAGCAGCCCATACTGAGAGAGTGGTTGAAATCACGTTATTTTGGCATCACCGCTATTGCATTTCTGTCATGAAAACTATTCTTCTGTTGTTGGATAAAAAAAAACTTCCTATTTCAAGCCCACCGCGATATACATATAGTGAGACATTCAAACCATCGGAACTTGCTGAATGATAACTTTCATCATGATTGATAAGCGTCGAATCTGATAAGAAAGCAATGTCATGATTTGACCTTTATTATGAAACACTAGTAGTGATGTAATTCTTAGCCAATCAGTAAAGCAGATGCATAAGGTCAAAGATGAATGCCAGACTGTAAAGAAAAGCATCGTGTATCATCGCAGCAGAGCGACCCCATATTTCTTGTCTCTTTATTGTGATTAGACATGAATGAAAAGTGCCAAGCTACCAGACTGCGAAATCCGTTGATTAAAAGTGCTAAGTCCAAATTGTGTGGGACGATATCGACGAACTTCAGGACGAAGCTGTAGGGATTTTGTTCGACGGCTACAGTGACGCCGACTTGGACTGTGAGGGTTTTGAGTTTGACGAAGATGGCAATGAACGTACAAATAAAGATCTGAGAAGTTTTTTCAAACAGCTATGAATTTTTATAATTTTTACTGTGTAAATTATTATTGATCTTGTATGACAGTTGATCCGTAATTTTTTGAGACCGGAAATAATTTTACGCAGTTTAACCCCTGACATTTTAGTTCATTTTGAGTTCAAGCGTATTGGGTGTGTTTGTCCGCGATGAAAATTCAAATGATTCCTCACTGTCGATTATTATTATCTCTGGTTTATTTGTCACATTATAAGCAATACATTATTTTTGTTTTACTTCTAATGTTGCATATTGTTCATTTATTTCTGTTGCATGTTTTCATTTGCCGTTCTATTCCCTGCAGCAGTTCGATCTGAGTGTTGTAAATTTTCGCAAATTTTCATGTTTTTTTGCAGGGGATATCCAGGCAAACGCCCACCCCTATTTTTTTGGCAATTTTCCATGTTCAAGACCCTGGGCTCTTACCCGGATAAATACGGTATAAAACAAAGTAGATACAAAGTTCAAATTCCAAAATTTGTCAGTGAATGAAGGTCACAAAAAAACATCCTTTAAATAATTATGAACTGCAATTGAGAGATATATGAATATTAGTCTACGTTGATGTGATAATTATACACCTAATCTAAGCCAAAGCTCCCAGTTAATAATTGTTTTTTCATCAAGAATTCCGGTTGAAAGAATTTTCTCGTAAAAATCGTGTAATGATTTGAATGACTATGGTCTTAGTGGCATGCACTGAAGCACGCTGTCCAACAACCTGGAACTACAATGCAACAGTAACTGTATAAGGAGATATTTATCCTATTTTCAAAATGATTATTTGTCAACCCAGATGATCACCTGGTTGCATGTTTGTTTATGTATTCAAATTGCGTGCTTTATTGCTTTTGTGTTAACAGAAATTAGAGTGGACGCAATCCTGGCAGCTCCTCACGCAATGCAAGTAAAATATTGTTGTGGTTTACTGCATCGTAATTGAAAATATTGTTTAGATTGTCATAGCAATCAAGTGTGCATGGTTGACCTACATGAAGACTCCATTAGTAGAATGTCAACATGATTTGCATAAACTAAGGGGTATATTGTAATTTATTACATTCCACATGACTGACTCCCCTCCAATCAGCTTGGCATACTAGAATATGAGAGATGACAAATGTACTTACCCACATGACAAGCATTTGGAAGAGCAAGAGAAGTATTCATCAGGAAATGTATCAGGAATGATATTTTGAATTTTCTCATTAAATTTGTTATTTAACACCTATCACAAAGAAAATAGATGTTACATTAGATAATTACGATCAATTGGATGTGTATGAAATTTCTGAAACTACTGAACCCAACCAAAATAACCTATTTGTGGGTTTCTGTGCGATGGTGATATTCTGTTTTATCACATAAATCATAAATTACGGTTGTTCCATTGTACATGTAAGTCTTGTGGCCATTAGTCATGAATTGAATAACGAATTTAGTCCAAAATTACCCGGTAGTACTGATAATTATGTTAAAAATGTATCCATGTCACTGTAAATATATTGCTGACCGCAAAAACAAACATACTCCCAAATCACAATACTGGTATATAGAAACAATTATCGTTTATGCAAATGACACTTCAAAATCAAAGCTCACAAAATATAATTCTTGTATTATTATTTTTTGCATTTAAAATTTGTGAACAGAATATATGGAATAAAGAGGATATAAAAATTCTGACTCGACAATATCAGATTTAGTAAATCATGATGTACCGTAAAAACTTGATTAATTCGCGGTCTCTATTAGTTCGCGCACCCATTTTATTTTCGAACGCTAATTTTTAAATGTATCCTTTTAATTCGCGGCGTTCAAAAACATGTTTAAAATTGTATCCTATTAATTCGAGGGCCAGAATAAAGTGGAGAACTCAGAATATATTGCATGAAGACATTAAAAATATACATATAATTTTATGTTATCAGTACTTGGTGTCGCCGCAATCGCAGATGATCTCCGTCATCACAGCCTTTCAATTAGCAAGCAGTTTAGGTTCGGTAAAGATTTGACGCGAAAAAAATCATTCCCCCACGACACTACATATGTTGGGCAAGATTATTACTTAGTCGATAAATATCCATCGGTAAGCACATCGATTACGAAAAGTTTCGTGATGGAAAGCTTAGTACAGGACTTTTTCGTCGCTGGTCCACAGGGTTGCATCCCGGGGTTGCATCGACCATGTGTCCGCCATTATTCTATTACGTCATTTAAGTGAACCGCCATATGGTGCGTAAATTGACATTTTTGATTGGTCGGGCGATTGACCTCTTGTCACATTTTCATAATACCAGATTTGGTAAAAAACAGAGTTATGCGGTCATGTATCTTCTATAAATCTAACCTTGCACACATAATCTTGTACTGACGTGTTTTTTGTCCAAGAAAGACGTTCCCTTTCATTTAACCCCCAGTTAACTCTTCGCGTCCATGGTATTTGTGAGAGTTGAAAGATTCTTTGAACAAATGACAAGTAACTATATTGATTTGCGTCAAGCTGGGTGGCCCGAATTTAAATATCAGTGCATGAACTCTGGATGTCATTGCCCAATTAAATTTGACGTATGGTATGTTAATGTTTGCGTAATTATTACGAATGCAACGAATTATCAAGTCGGTGATATTGAAATATTCACAGACCCAATACCCCGGGTCAGTGCCCTAACAATAGTTTAAAAAACTAATTATCATGAAAGCAATACATTACGAAGTTGAAATATTCAGAGCCGGTACAATATTGTAAACAAATTTGCGTAATTAGAAAAGCAGTGCACTAAGTAAACGACGTTGATATATTCAAGCCAGTACAGAGTTGCATACAAGTTGCGTAATTACAGACCTTCGGATATAATAAAAATTTTACTAGTTTGACGTGCAGGGCATGAAAGAAAAAGGTTGCTAAGGTAACGCGCCAGTTCAGTGCGTGACTTGGGGTCAAACTTCGGTCAACACACACTTGATGTCAGCATCGCTGCGCAACAAGTTTCGCAAAAAAGTACTTGAAGTTCAATTGCGTCTCAAAATGATGTCGCTGATCACTCGTGTGTTGCAGCGTGTGTTGTGTCATGTCCATGATGCACCCAGTTTCGACTTTGGCCTGTTTTTCCTTCTTGTTCACGTAAAATGCAACCTTTCACCAATGTATTAAAACACTTTGAATTTATACTTTGCATGATTATATTTGGTCAACGCGAAACATTATTTTTTCTAAACATTTTCTGAGACCATTTTTATCAACGCAGGGTTATTTTTCCAGACAAAATGGGCTTTGTAATATCTGCCATAACATCGCAGTGCAGCCAAACGGCTACTTTGTAGCCACGTGTTCATTGTTTGTTTGTGTACAGAGTGACCTTTGCCATTTTTCACTGTTTCATTTCAAGTGTAACTTGGTGCCTGATCCTTGACGCAGTGCGTGTTCTCTGCCCGACTATATGCCATGAATGTCGCTAGCCACGAGTCTCAGAGGCACTAAAAAAACGTCCTGTAATCGTGTTCATTGGAAAACAAAACAAATTACTAATAAATTTATGAAAACAGCTTATTTTTGAATCGATCTAAAAGTACTCTTTTAATTCGCGCACCAGAAACCAATAATTTCCGTTTTTACTACCGCGAATTAATAGAGTTTTTATGGTAATTTACATTCACTAAGACTTGCACTCAATCTTATTGATTGTGTCAGCAACTTAGTTCACAATGTTCATGATTGCATATACAGAAGAATGCATTAGACGGTAACAAATGTGTCAGGATTTCAAACATTTACCTGCAAAGACGTGCTGCTGTGATTACAAAATTAACAACTATGAAAGCGACAATAAGATATGATTTTGGCAATTTTTGTTTAAATATAACCCCGTGATGATGACCAAATCTTACAGAAATATTTTTAAAACACAATTGCATGTGCAAAATTGACAGAGAAGCTTAGCCCCTTAAGATGATGACATTTTTGAAATTTCAACCAGGAACTAAGTTGTTATCTTATGAGGGAAACCCTGAGGTTTGCTTGACAAAACTGGACTGGACAATAGATAGCGCGCTCTGGAGACTGGGACACAAACCAGTGGCTATCTTTATTCACTTGCAAGGGATTTAATGTACAATGTATAACATTGCTATGCAGAGTTTATGCTATGCTATCAGTGTTCACATTACGACGATGGCCATTACAAACTGGCACTAATGACATATAAAATAGTTTATGAAAAAAAAAATTGGAGAAAAAAGATCCACAGCTATCGCTGCTTGAACAAACATAAACAAGTTTTAATAGCACATGAAACTTATAAATAGTCATGTATATACAGTCTCTATCATATTCTATGGGTAGTTCTAATATGCAAAATAATTATGTTTATGATATATATAAGAATATCATTTCAAATACCTTTAGTGTTTGATAGATGATGGCTGGTGATCTTGGAGAACGAACTGACTTGTCATCAATATTTTGCTTAATAATTTGTTGTAAAGTTGTGAAAACAGATTCCTGGGTGGTTTTTATACCAACATAATGTAGTGAACTGAATGCATCAATATTGAGACCTGAAGTCTTGAATCGTTCTTTGAGTAACATTACTGGTGTTTTGTTGCCAATTCCTGGTGACTTTCCTTTAAAAAAAAATAGAATATAACATTACTATTATTCTGAAGGTTACCGGTATGTAGTACAGAGATTTTGTACCCTCAAATTCCATATTTTTTTATAATCTAAGTTGTGCTGGCATGCAGAAGCCACAACACTGATCTGCTTTTACGTTCTGAGAGTACACAGATGCCTCACAGGTCAAGTTCGCATTACTGATTATTTTGTTGACTTGACAACACTTGTTAAGCTACACTCAGTTGGAAGAAACAGATCCTACATGTATGTAAAAATACAAATAGTCAACAATGAAAACCAAATTTACTGCTAGATTAATGAATTTTATTTAGCTAATCAAAGCAAAAGATTTGGTAGTACATGTACACTTATCTTATGTGGCATCTGCATGCACACAGATCAACATGCACACACCAGTGTTGTGACTTCTGAATGCCTGCACAACTTACCCTCAGATACGCTTTTGAAGTACCTGAACCTGTTGGTTGGGACAATATTCTAATAAGCATCATGAAATGAACAAACCTAATAGAGTTCCACACAAGGTACATCATTTCATACTAAATATTGCAAATAATAAACACTGAAAAAAAAAATTTAAGAGAATCTACCTAATGGATCTGTGTGCTTCGTTTCATGGAAAACAATAACAGCTGGTCCCAAAGTTTGCAAAGGTACTTCCATTTTCCATCTATCAGAAGCAGCTTTCAAAGCATCAGCAAAATGTTTACTATAGGCATGGGATGCATCACCTAAAAACCTAAACAGATCACTGTGTAATCTGTCAGCACATGTGCGATATATGATAATATCAGATATTGCCAATACTTTCAGGAGAAGCCTGGTTCTTTGGTTCTCATTTGGTGATACACCTAATAATCCCTCAGTATCTAGAGTGATGACATTTTGTGAAGAGTCAAATGCTGCCCAGACACCAATAGTACATGAGTCTTGAGATGCTGAGGTGTGAAACACTTCTTGACCCTTGTAAAATGCATGATTCAAAGTATGGGATTTCCCATCTCCAGTATTACCAAATATAGACACAACTTTCACAGTATCATCATCTCTGCAGTTTAGTCTGGTAATGAAATCTTCAGCTGATGCTACCTGGAAATGATAGAAATGTGAAGCACGTCTTATAGATGAAAGGTATGGGTGCTAGTTAATATCATTTGCAACTTTAAATATCAATAACAATGTCATATTGATTCTTTGGAAATAACATTTTCATCACTGTACAGCAATAAGGTAAAATAGTTTAAAATGAAAAATAAACTCTCTCTCTTTTAATAGAAAAAATGTTAAATAAAAATTTTCCAATCTGTCCAACCATGTGTTTTTCAGTTGAACTGTACTCCTTAGGTAAATAAATTTCTGCTCTTTTGATTATTTCTACTTTTCAGAAGTTAAACACTTGGAAGGAATTTTTTTCAGTGTTTTCTATATTTTGTACATTCCATGAAGAAATGTTGTTCATTTTCAATCTTTTCGTGTGTACAATATTTACATGTTCTGATTTCCAGTGTTCATTTTGATGTAATGAGTGTTACAGTGTACATTTGTGGTTCTTAATTTCTACTCGTGAAATCATATCGCTGCTAGACAGCAATGACCGTCAGATTGCTGTTAGATTGCTGTGGTTCTGTGACTCTCCTTATACAGGCAACTGACTTCCAGTTTTCTATTTTCACATATCTGACGTTTTTTTTTGTTTGGTTGCATTTTGTATATGAAGTCAGATTTTGACAAGTAAGTAAATGGACCAGGGCATAGCCAACACGGGAGTGGAATCACAGGTATGCCCTGAAGGTAGAGTCACCACAATGCATTAATGTACAAAATTAACATTACAATCACACTGGATACGATATACTGGAAAGTGGAAATAATGTATCTTTTAAACCACTGTCGATTTTTTTGGTACTAAAGTCATACAGGGGAATCCAAGAACACAAAACAAACTGACAAAAATCAACAAAAGAATCCGCAAGAACAACTACACAACATAGTCAAAGAGAAAGATATATGGACACCATGGTAGATGTATACTGTAAAATGACTAATTATCACTGGGTTTAAATTTGGCTAATTTACCATTTCAGACATATTCAGTGGGTTTTAATTTAGCGCATTTTCCAGTCAGCGAAACAAGCAAAATTAAAACCCAGTGAATAATTAACCCTTTTACAGTACATGAAAATGTAAATACAAACAAAATGTCTGTGAATGCAATAATTTATGCTAATTAGGCCACCCACCTGCTATCTTGGAATGTGAAGAACACTGAGAATTGTGAACAAATACAAGGTGTCCTATGGTATTCATAAAATGCTTGTTTTGGTAAGAGAATTGTTTTTTTTTTGCCAAAATCGATAGTTTATAAGACTTTCTATAATATCCACCAATAATGCAGAGTTCTGATCTGCAAGCTAGATTTGGTGAAAATTTGTTTACCCTGATAATTTTTCACAGATTTAATACACAATTGTTCATCTTGTGTTTTATCCCATTTCATGTTGTCCATATTATCAACACCCCATATTGATGATCCATATAGTCTTGAATAGATCTATATAGCCTTGAATAGATCCATATAGCCTTGGTCTTGTAGTCTATTTCTGGGTAACACTTTTTGAAGGCCAAACATAGCCTTGGCAACTTTATTTGTTAGGCAAGTTCAAGCCTCATTTAATTCACCATTTGCTTGTGAAACTATACCAAGATAAGAGTATGTATTGACACATATTAAATGTTGAGTTTGGTAATTAAATTGATTTTTGAAAATCATAATTTTAGTCTTGGTTAGATTCACCTGAAGCTTCCATTTATGACAGTACCGTATTCCTGTAATAGATTTATTGAATTCTGTAAGGTGTTTCAGAAATTTGTAGTAAATTATCAGCATATAGTAACAAACTAGAACTAACCTTAGTACATGTATTATCTAACATAACTTGATCATTAACATAACATTACTATCGTACTCACTAATGTATTATGCAAGTCATTTACAGGTAGATACATGTATAGATTAAATAGCAATGAGTTGAACTAAAAAGTTAAAAATTTAGCTAAATGTAAATTATAAGCCCTTTCTTGGATTATCAACATGTTTTATTTACACCACAGCAGTGTTTGAGTGGAACCAACAACTGAATGCAAATGTTTCCCACACGTCCCTGTATTCTCTAATGTTTTTTCTAGAATAAGCTACATCAATAAAAGAAAATTGATACTTATTCTTAAAGTCTGTGGATACATGAATACTGTAGTTGCTCTATTAGGTGTGCATTTCTAATAAAAGTACACACGCACCTCTGTTCTTTACAAATAGAGCAAATTCAGTATATTATTTTGCTTACGCGTATACTGTAAACAAATTAATTATCACAGATTTTTAATTTCAATATGTTAATATTTAAGAATATTCATTTAGTTTTAAATTCACAAATTTTCCAATAAAACCATTTCTGTTTTACATACCTCTTCACATTTAATTGATCAGATTTCACCAAACAGGAGTGTTCCCTCTAAGAAAATTGTTACTGAGAAATGTTTTTATATCAACTTAAAAAACAACTCGAATCAAGTGCTTTCAAATACAACATACTTGAAATTACAAAAAATGTTTCTCAGACTGCCAAACTTCACTGAAAATCTGACTGAGAAAATACAAAAATAAGGCTCAGAGATAACACTGCTTACATTGTACCAGAGAAGATGGTAAAAATAATTAAAACCCATTGTACGTGACTACAGCAGTACTTGTATACATCACCAACTTACCTGTAATTTTTCAGTGTCATCAACCAACAAAAATCCTTTGAGATCCATTTTGGCTTTTCCAAACTCTTTTACATCATCCTTAGGCGAAGAAGCCATGCTGCCTTCACCCATCACATCCATACCATTCTTTCCTTGCATCTCATCAAAATTTGCTTCTTCGATCCCTTTTTGCAGCTGAGGACCGGCCAATTCAAGAGTTGCAGGAAGGGTGGGAGATGGTTCTTCCTTCTTTATTTTCTCTTCTGATGGATGCGGTGTTACCATGGCAACTGCAGTATGAGGATGACTGATATCTAATGGAGTGATTATGGCTGCTTTTCCGGGAATGGCAATAGGACTAGTTTTAGATTGAGCAGGTGATGAGGGCTTAGCAGGGGGAGATTTATTAATACTGAAATGACATGTTATAAAATCAGCAGACTTAAAGTCATCATTGTTATCTGGATGCTCTTGCTTTGGTGTTGCTATTTTTGGTTGTGATGCAGGCCGTGAACTTTGCTCGCTAAGGGTCAACTGTATTATTTTTCTTTCATGGGTTCTCTTTTTCCCTTTAGAATGTAATTTGGCGTCGCAATCTGCACACATAAAAATGTCACACTCTTCACACCTTATTACAGCATCGTTCGGGGGATTGCAGAACACACCACACATTTTCTGTTCCTGTTCATGAATTAATTTTTGGCGATCGTGGAATAGAAATTTAGGTAGCTGATGCAGGTTCTTTTCGCAATGATCGCATTGTAATGTTCCACACTCATCACATTCATACACAGCGGGGTCGCCGCTGCAAGCGAATTTCTCTTGACAAAGCCGTCGATATGGTCTAATACGATTACCTTTACTTCTGCTGGCCATCCTACCAGTTTCTTGATAATCCTGAAAAGTAATTGTAGACATCGACATTTGGAAATCCCCGTATTTCGTTAGTCACTACGGTGTCGCAGCTGACTATGTATGCAAAGGCGAAATGAAAAGGGGTCATAAGGGTCACGTGACAAAACATTTAAACATAGAGATATTTGTTTTACATTATTATTATTCAGTGTTTTTTTTGTAGGCAGATAGTTCAAATGAAATTTTTGATATAGTGTATTTTTAATTTTATGATATTAAAATTTGAACTTATTTTATTTTAATATATACAGCATATATTTTGATAGCGATCCAACTAACTAGCGAAAGAGGATAATAGAGGACACATTTAACAAACTATCAAATGCAATAGCGTGTTGTGTTGTGGGTAATTTGCGCCTTGTCTGTTTGTCATTAGACTTCCTCGTTTGATTTCACTACTGTTTGTCTTCGTTGAAACGACCCGTTATTGGCCATGGCTACGAAAATTGGAAAGAAAAGGAAGAGTCGAATTCTTGTCGATTCCGAAAGTTCTGACAGTGACAGCCCTGCTGATCTTGATGAGGTACCAGCACCTATCTAAATATTCGTCTTAGACAGTAAAAGAAAAAATAGTGTGTTTTGACAGAATCACATGCATCACATGGATTTTGGAGGAACAAAAAGACCGTCACAAGTACCCCCTGTGATTGCTTGTGATAGCAATCTTCTAGTCCGTAATATTTAAAACAAATAGTCCATTATATGTGAAACAGTCTCCAAATTTGGTTCTTAGTTCATAAATATTGATTGCACGAGTATTTGAGAGTTTCGCGTCGTGTACTATTGCAGAGAAACATTCCTAAAAAGTAAACGAAATTCAAATTTTGGAAATTATGAGAAATAAAATTAAGAAAGTAACTAAACTGGTCAATAAATTAAATTCAACTTGTTCTCTCTACTCAGTTTTGTAGCATTGAATATTTCCAGAACTGCTGGACCTAGGTGTATGCTTACAAATCAACTAGTGTTATTAATTATGCTGTCCTATTTAAATATTATTTAAAAAGATACCTATCTTGCTAAACAAAATGTTATTTGAATTTTGCCTTATTCTCACCAAATATTATAATTTTGCAAATGAGTAATGGAACTTCCAAATTTTGTAAAATAAACAGAATGAGTTTTTGCACCCCTATCCTAACTCAAATCCTACCGTCCAGTGCTCCCCAATTTAATTGTATATGCTCTTCTAAGGACACCTATAATTATCTAGCGGGGACATGTACAATTGATTTGCAGGGCTGGTGTTAGGGTTAGTGCTGAAACATTACTTGTGTATTCAGTGACCCATTTACACCTTTGTCACTATTTGACAAAGGTTTTTTGAGTTCTTTATAAATTCAGAAAAAAACATTTAACTTACCTCAATTAAAAAAAAAAAAAAAAAAAACTGGAACAATTAATGACAGCACTAAAAGTATGCGTAATATTTTTCATGAATATATATTTTATGCCAGTCCCTTTCTGAAAAAAAGTAATGTGATAAAAAAACTTTGACTAGAATCATATACAACTATCAAAAATTACCAATAATTTTTACTCTGGAAATATTTTTTCATTATATACACATACATGCTATACATACTATTTAGAATATGAACAGCGACTGGATTAGTCACCCGTCACGTTTTACACAGAACACTGAGCCTCTGTGTTGTCATGCTAATTAAATAGCATTCAATGTAATTCTGTGTCATTTTGTTAATTAATGTTGCACTTTTGTAACAAACCCTTCATGTCAGTTTTCTTATTAATAATAATAATAATAATAATAACTTTATTACACTACTATGCCATCAGAGGGCGCAGTATGGTTAATAAAATACAAATCATAAGAAAAAATACAGTAGCTAGACTATAAGATAAAATTAAAAATAAAAGATGTTAAAAGCTTAATAGGAAAAACAACTTAAGGATAGTTACAGGATTCTCCCAATGTAGAGGTGATAGCTATCATATACCTGATTTCTGTTTTGCCTTATTTAGAAACTTTGCCAGGGGTATGAAGCACGTCATTATTTTAATGAAATTATCTGTTTTATTTAGTTTATTTTTAAATCCTATTTCTTGAAACAGCTCCCCTCTTTCTTTATTGAGAAATTCACAATCTAGGATAAAATGTTGTTCGTCCTCAACTGAATTTGTATTACATTTTTTACAAAATCGCTCATCCGCAGGAATTTTTGGTCATTGTTATTGATAGCCAGTAATAAATTGGGTGTACTTGGTCAATCTATAATACTGAGTGAAACTGCCCTACACTGCATTGTATGCATCAATATTCTAATTGTTCTTGCAAATGTGTAAATAATGGGGACAGTAGCAGATCTTCATTTTTAAGCACATTGCTCCATATTATATATGAAGCCATGGAATCTAATTTACTGCAGCATAAACATATTAAGCTGCAAGTTGTTTTTTTTATTTCCATTTTAGGACTTGTTATCCCTTGCAAAGAGAAAACGTTCAGCTGAACCAGAACCACAGAACAACAGTCAGAAAAGTGAATCCTCAGGTTCTGAAACCTCAGACAGTGACGATGAGGTAGGTATTGTAAATTTTATACATAATTTATGGTTCTTTTCTTTGAACATTTGACCAACATTATCAGTAAATGCCCAAAGCAGTATACATTTCAGTTTGTTATGGTGCAAGAATTCAGTATGTATCAATTAATGCAATATTAAAACACCCTGTTTGAGATAACACTTCAAACACCCATCACCATGTACCTTGATGGGCATTCAGTGTCTCCAACTTCGAATTGCTGTGATGTAAACTAATCAGTTGACTTCTTTCATGTGAATTTACTATTCACATGCAGGATGTTTTGTGAGTCCTCTAACAGGCTGTATACAGTCGTCTCAGTCTGCTGACAGATATAAACTTGTTTTTTTTCTACTAAACTATTATGCGTTTTATTTCATCCCTCCATAGTGGATGGCAGGAGGCAAAAAGAAAACTAAAAGACCACTCAAGAAGAGGACTCGTAAAACAGCTGCCTCTGATGGTTCAGCTGCAGAAAGTGAATCTGAGAAGTCATCTTTGGAAGAAGGTTTGTTTGGTTTAGGGAAACATTCAAAATCATCCAATCATCCAATTTTTTTTTCCATGTCCAATGAACATCCAGTTCGTATAATTTGTGCAATTCTTCCACCATCCCCCCACCCAATGTTTTTAATGGTCAGCTTCTAAGTAGTTTGGGCATTGGTGTAGTTTAAGGTTGCGTAATAGTCTTGTCATAGGAACGGTATATTTAAAACCATGGTTAGTGGTGTAAAACATTGTTGAAATAGCAATTATTTACTAGATGAATATTCAATGTAAACCAAACTGAGCATTCCATAGTTTTAATAAAGGTGTATTTAGTGGGTTGTTGTCTACTTTTAGGGGAAGTATCAGACTCTGAAAGCAACAAGTCATCTGGGTCATACTCAAGTGATTCAGATTCAGATGAATTCCGGGATGGTTATGCAGATGATATGATGGGTGATGAAGAGGACAGAGCACGATTAGAACTTATGACAGAAAAAGAAAGAGAACAGGAATTGTTCAACAGAATTGAAAAAAGAGAAGTTTTAAGAACAAGGTATTGCTTGAGGCATAATCTGCTCTTCAGTATTTTATTATTTTTTTTAGATTGAAAATAATGTCTCAACTTTAAGCATTTCAACAAATTTTGTTGAGTGATACATGTTTAGTGAACCACTCTCACTCTACCAGTACAGTAGGGAAAGGACTACAAGTATATTTTTATGTTTGTTAGTTTTATCTAATGATCTCTGACAACTTGCATATAGGTTTGAAATTGAAAGGAAGCTGCGGCAAGCCAAAAAGAAAGACATGAAGAGACAGAAGAAACATGAAGGAGAGGCTAGACATGTTCACAGAGTAAAAACCACACATGAGAGAAGCCAAGAAAGGAGGCGGACAATAGATGAAAGAAGAGATAAGAAAGCTGAAGCTATTAAAACCCTTAGAGCAGAAAGAGAGAAGAAGCGAAAGACAGGTACTCTTGCTTCCATAACCTGTTTATCAATTCCTGATAAAAAGACTTTGAAATTCTCTCAAATAATTAGACCAATAGTGAAAGTCTGGTTGTTACCCACCTACCAATACCTACTCTGTCTACCAATAGAGTTGCCCTGGGTAGATTCACAAACCAATATAGGGTAGTCATCATTGTGCACCAAAGTGCGAGAACAAATAAGCAACACTGTTACTGTATACAGGTATTTGTATTTTTTGCTATGCTGTCCATTTTGTAACTTGTGTATATCAAAATATATTTACTGAAATACTGTGTGTATTTCAGTGTCTAGAGATAGGCTGAAGTATATTAGGTAGCTAATTTACATCATTAATGTTTAATTTTAATAATTTTGCATGTATCACACATGGTAGCTGATTTTGGAACATAAATTGTTATTTTACAAATGACAACATTTCAAGACCTTATATTTTCATCTTTTAAGCCGAGGCTCAAGCAAACAAGAAACAGCCAGTTAAAGTGAGTGATGTGTATTCAGAAAGTGAAAGTGATGAAAATGATGATTCTAGTGGAGACCAAAGTGACGACTCATACCGGGCTTCAGACAGAGACGATGAGGAGTAAGTCGTGATGTAATAATGTTCATAAACTGTGTGGCCACAGACATTAAAACAAAAATGTCATATATATATTGATCATTTTATAGGAAGTCTGATCAACACTTATGCAAACAAGTTTATTTGCTATCAGTAATTTATAAATTGTGTAAATAAATGTTGTATTATAGTGTACTATGCTCATTTATGTTTTGTATTTCAAAAGAAAAATGGGTTAAGAAAATGTTGTTCATGTCGGTACATGTGATACACATTCTGTATTCCAACCATAGCTACCGGTATATCCTGAATACATATGTGTTATTCTACTATAACAAAGGATTTAAACAGATTAACTGTATATAGCTTTTAATCTCATCCCCAGTCTGTCGTCATATTTCTGTACTATTGTGGGTAAAATGACCAGAGACCATCATGATTGGAGGAGAAATATTTTCAGAAAATAAATTTTAGTGATAGTTTGCTGGATTACATTTCAGTGATAATTCTGAACATTTCAAAGATGGTGCAACAAACTCTTCTGTTCCATGTATTTCATCAGCCTCCTATGTAATAATACTTTTATATTTTGTATGACAGTGTATATGAAGAGCGTAGGTCCCATACTGTGAACAGTAAAGATGATTTACTCAGGGTCAAACTATCAAGGCATAAACTTGAAAGGTAAGTTTTACATGCATGTTTCAACATTTCTAGTTTGATGCTTCAGTGAAAAGGTGTGCTGTATATAAAAACAAATAAACAAATTCATGAAACAATGAGATGTGTTTATGTGTACTATTAGGCATTAAGATCTCTCTACACAACTGATCTTTCTGTTCTATTGGATGAGTTCCTGCAATCG